ACACAGATACAAACAGACGCACACCCACTTAAACCAGGGCCAGTTTTCCCAGAAGACAAATATCCTACAAGTATGTCTTTGGACTGTAGTAGCAAAGCGGAACACCTAGAGAAAATCCACATGAATGCAGGGAGAACATACAGTACCAACTACACAAATAGCACCAGAGCAATTAAAACCCAGTGCTGTGACACAACAATGGCAAATACTGCTCCATTTTGTCGTGGAGTGCTTCAAATACATTACAGAATTCCTCATTAATGACAGACTGACACTGGTTGTTGAAAGCTGCAGCCCTTCAGGCTTTATAGGTAACTTTGAATCATAAAGACATGAAGACTGCTGAATAAGACTGACATTGCTGAAAAATGAAAACCACAAGACTGGAATGAATATCATCCTTTTTGCATGTATTTTCACTGATCAAATAGAATTGTCCTTACACTAGGTTTGTGAGAGAAACCTTACAAAAAGCATACAATTTTGCACACTATCACTGATATAAAAAAATGAACTATAAAATTCCAGTGTAGCTTTGTTGCCCTGTACAAGGACTTCGTATACTAATCCGTGCTTAATCTCTTCTTTGGTAGAAAATAGAACTGCTTTGTGATGTGATTTTTTTCTCTTACCTTTTATTTCTGAACTGTTACTCTTTACAAAGGATTCCTTCTGCTCTTTCCATGTCTGTTACTGGTACAAGCCCATACTGGCTGAAAAAACACTGGGTTGGGCTGGTTTCAAAATTCTGAGGTTTAGTAACAGAGTGGGAGTCTGGAAGCCCAGTGCTGCACCTGCATTTCATGCTATCTCCTATTTTTCATCTGCTGAAAAGCAGGATTCTCTCTGTATATGTCTGTGCTTATTGAAGTAAGTGACTCAATTCAGGCTCAGTGAAATGGAACGCTTAATACCAGCCCAAGCATTTATTACAAGGGATTTTTTACACAGTAAGGAGAGAAACAAAGCATATGACAAAATAATTAGGGAATACATTTTCAGGATGTTGGTAGTAACATGACCCTGTAAAATCACAAAATTAAAAACTCCATGATATCAACATGATCTCTGAAAAAATTATTGTTTTGGAATTATAGACATATAAACTTTGGTAAACAAAAAAGTGATTATGTTTAATGTTTAGGTCAGTTCTTGGCCTGATAACTACAGATCTCACTGACAAGTTCACAATATAAAGCAGCACATGAGAACAGCTTTCTATCTCTATCAACTTTTCAAAAAGTCAGCAGTTTGGAAAGCAGTCCAGAGGATAATCCTCAAAGAGTTTGTTTCAGAATATGAAAGAAAACATTCATAGATAAAGTATAACACACAGACTGCAAGCCCACATCATCTAATAGTGCTACCTTACTGCCAATTGGAACTGAAACAACTAAACTAAATTGTGAGTCTATGCAATTAACCTGATTCAGAGATAATCAGATTAAGTTTTGTACTGTATGTGATTTTCTCTATTGTTCTTTGTCTTGTCACAAGGTATATTCCACATTTATCAAGTCACGTCTGTTAAAGACAGTTTATCGGAATGAGTTTAGCACCATTTCCTATTAATTTTATCTCTAGAACTAACCATACATTACGATATATTTATCCCAGTACATGGCAAGATTTTGTGTGCCAAAACAGAGTCCATGAACAAAAGACATCCTCAGGTATCATGCTTGCTTCTCCATTATCCATCATTATCCATCAATTTTCTTATCTCTTCTTCCAATTCAGGGTCATGGGGAAATGCATCATACACAGTGGTAAACAGCAAACAGCATATTGTGTATATAAACAGTAAGCTTGCTGATTGAAAATATTAGCATATTTTTCATTCTGTATTTTTGTACATACACACTATGTATTGTATCGCCACCAGTCATACTGTTACTGCATTGAGTCTGAATTTTTCTCACTTAATTGCAGATGCATACATTTGTTTAATTAAGGAAACTACTGGGAAAAAAAACTTTACATTTGATCCCTGGCATTTGACCCAGCTGTTGGATTGATTAAAACATGAATTGAGAACTAAACTACCTCTATATGTAATACTAAAATACTTCTAGATGTAACTACTCTAAATGTCATACTAATATGCATTGCATGCATTTCAACCAGAAACATTTACAGTAAATTGCGTGGCTCTGGAATTGTTTCCAGTTTACCTCTTCACTGTCAATATTTAGTGAAGGATATTTAAGGAACATGTGACAGAAAATGAAGACAGATCAACGATTACATTTCTTTCATTTCTTTTCACTCATCACCTTACAAATGCACCAGACTTATTTGATGAGTCTTTAGAGGTTTTCATCTAAACCCCTAAGTAAAACTAATAAATTCATTTTACATGGCTCTGTTATCAAAGGTTTTATGGGAAATACCTGTCCACGTAGCATTTTACAAGCAGCGCTATACCTCAGTATACGATAAATCCATATTGCATAAAAACTTTAAACATCCTGGGGGAAGACAACAGACTTAGGTTGATTGAAAGGCTACAATGTTTTTTAAAAGGTATCTATGAAATGCATGGATACACTTCCAAAGACAGGACTTAATCTACAGTATATTACATTTGGCAGTTGTGAGGACAGATTTTTCACTTGCACACAAAGAAAACTATATATTCATGTTCCCATTAAAGTAATTATCAAAGAGATCAAATAGTGGTTCCCAACGCAGATCTTGAGGGACCCCTGTGTCTTTGGGTTTTCTTCCAGCCAAATTAAATCCAGGTGTCAATTTTCTGCTTCAGACGTGCTTTTTGCTTTCAGGTCTCGAAAAGGTTGAATGGGGTTTGTAAATGGTATCACCCCTGTGTTAATTTCTGAGTGTTTCATCTCATTCAGATGCGCCAGTGTGAAATTTATCTTATTGGACCTTTTGAGGGAAAAGCGCTCAGTGTGGGAATGCCCAACACAATACCATTCCCAGCTGTGGTTGGTGATCACCTGTTTAGGGAGTTAGAAAGAAAGAAGGTTGTTTATTTAGGAAGTTGATTCTCAAGAGAGACAGCATGAATAGTATGTACTTCTTTTTTTATTGCTGAAGTGCAGCACCTACCTTTATATGGGTGACATACTGGAATTATACCCCTACAGCCCAACTACAGAACAGTTCAGATTGAGAACTGAGAAAACGCTACTCTAATCGATCGAAATCGATTAGAAAGCCTAGGAGGTCTAGGCTGGTACTAGGGTTGTGCTATCTAAGAGCGGATTTCTGTCAGGACTCTATGATTAGAATCACTCTCATTCTAAGAGTGCCATGGGCACTTTTATGACCAAGCTTTCATGGTAAAAATTTAACTTCTACAGCATAGGTGTACATAATTCTGTAGTGGGCCACTGGAAATTTGGAAATTATGGCCCAGAGGGAAGAGTGTCGCTTACTGGTTCTACCACTGTCACTTGCAGAAGTAACTTAGTGTTCCAGGGAAGTCTCCTTTCCAAGTAGTCATATGTTATTTTAAAATAAATAGTTGACAACTACAGATCAGATTCTCTTACTCTTGTCATGTAAATTTTGTTTCCTGCCACAGGGGACCTGATCACTGTATCCCATTTTGAGGAAAAGAGAATAAGGTCACAAACTGGGATGAATGGATCAAGCAGGTGATTTGTTTTATTCCAACTTATCTGTTTGAAGGCTTTTGTATATCTAACTAAGGTCGCGGGGGAGCTGGAACCTATCTTGGTAAGTGATGGGGTACACAGTGTTTGGGATGCCAGTCCATTGTAGGGCACAAAAGGCACAGACATTCACATACTCACACTGGGGTCAATTTTCCAAAAAGCCTATCAACCTACTAGTACACTGTATGTCTTTGAACTGTGGGAGGAAATCCAGAGGTTACCCATACAAACACAGGGAGAACATACTGTACAAACACTTTGCAGATACATATAATAATAATAATATTAGCAAACCAGGTCAGGAATTCAACTCGGGGATCCATGGCTTCGAGGCAGCAGTGCTAATCACTGCCTTTAGCTAAAAGTAAGTCTTCAGGGTGTTATATCAGCGCCACCAAGTGACAGCTTTAAGCATAAAAGGATTGCACTTCTGAAGGAGATGCTTACATTTTATGTGCATGTTTGTGACATTTTAGTCTTCACATTTGACATGCAAACCTGTTGACAATTATTGCATATATCACTTTTATTTTGCAGAGCCATGGCAATTTCAGCAGTCTGATCCAGTTCTTATCCTTGGCAAAGGTGCCTGTGAATCTAGATTTCTGCTCATCTTGAATGCTGTTGAAGACCTTGCATCCCTGTTTGGCAAAGAGTTCAAATAGCAGATCTTGTTTTAACCTTATACCTTATAGGGCTGAATAATTGCATGTACATGCATCTGAACTGGATGAGTTATGTACTGTACAGGGCAGAAGTGAACAGCGATGTGGCATGTATACTTCCAGGAGCTGACAGTGAATTAAGCAGGGTGTTGTTCTCTCAGTACACAGCGGTCTGATTATCCTGATGATAATATGGCAATAAAACAGGAAACAATGCAAGAGTCTTCCAGCTCACTAGTTTGTGAATGCATGTTATTTGTTGAAACTTCATATTATGGATCACAGTTATAATGGCATTCACTACTTTTTGCTGTTGAGTTTTATCGAATTATTACATATTTTGTATAGGAGGTGTGCATTTTGTTTCCTACCACTAAACCTGCCTATCAATGTATCAATTGCTAGATATATGTACCTTTACATACAGTACAGCAACATACAACTTATGAATCTTAAAAGACATTTCTGAAAGCAAGTTCCCTAACATATTATGTCGTGTTCTGTGTGTTGCATTTTTTATGCATAGCAAATATTAAAATTTTGCCCTGATCTGTGGCAACTCGGGTCAGATGGTAGGTCTCAAACACATACCCTCCACACTCCATTTTTCAGGGTGTTAATCTAGCCATCACAATTCAGAAGAGGGGAACCCTTCCACCGACTAGAAAAAAGATACTTAACATAAGCGTGATTTTGTCTTTGTGTTTATTTCAATGATTAACACTATATATATATTAATTATTTTTTTCACAACAAGCATTAAATTTTTGTGTAACCCGGTACAGGAAGAAAAAAAATATTTTTGTGCAGCACAAACTTTTACATTTTTATTACTATAAACATATATGTGTGTGTATACAGTGTATATACAGTATACCAACACACATACATATACTGTATATTATACATAGACTTTACCACTGTTACAAAAGTAAGCTAGATGCATGACTGTACACTGAGGGTGAAAACAAACACAAAAGTAGCTGAACAGTCCTCATTGAGGGCAAAAATACTCACAATATATGTTCAGAATAGAAACAATCAAGGAAGGAAATGTTGCCAATCTAAGTAAAAGTGCTGTCGGTTCACACTACCTGAACAACTCACCAATGAACAACACTGTTGTAGGTAAAAGTTGTGCTTCCTCTTTTTATTAAAAAATCACTGATATTGTAGATGCCAGCTGGCTCAAGTCTAGTAATCTTACTGGTCCTTTTAGGAGTGACCTAAAGTTCTAATGTGAACAAGAGAAACAAATAAAGAAAAACAGACAAATATAAAAATACACAGGACCCCCCACATGCTACCCAGTTGATAAACATGAATTGTTCAATGTAATATTACTACGATATCAAAAAGCTTTAACAGAGTGGAATGCTCTGTGAAACCGAGACGGTCAAATTAAAGAAAACCTGAAATGTCAAGCTTTTCCTTTTAAAGGCCTAACTGAAAGCTGAAGCTTCAGGATACACAGTATTTGATTTTTTTAGGTTTTTCTCTTGATTTGGCATTTATGCTATTTTTTCAGAAGCGTCACTGCAGCTTGAATAAATGATACCAATACAGGTACAGTAACACCCGATGTTTACTAAAGCATGTGGAGGGCTTTAAGCATTTGGTGAGGAAATCAAATGAAAAAAGTGTTAGGAAACTAGAGTGTGTTTTGTGTCTCCAAAATACTTTCAAGGACAGATAAAGCAATTCAGACACACATTTTATGGAATGTATTGGAATAAAGGAGAAATAATGCACACTGACACTACAGACTGTGCAGTGTCAATAGACAAGTGTTAATAAACAAACTACTGGCTGAGCTTTAAGCTGTCTACCATAAATGCATGACAAAAGTAACAATACAGTACATAGCGCTGCAGCTTCTAGCAGAAATCAGTACATTTTCAAAATACTGTACAGGAAGTCTATGCAGTACAATAAAAGATGTCCCTGTGGTTAACCAGTGGAAACAAAAGACTCCATGCTGCTAGAAAAACTATTTGGAATTTAAGATTATAAACCTGTTAGGATGTTATGCAAAGCTATAACTTGAATTGTGCATTTTTCATTACTACATTGCTAGATACAGCACCAGTTCTAAATATTTCATGGGGCATTATTTTCACTAAATAATAATTAAGCTGCTTGATCGTACAAAAGCGGACAACTGTCTGTCAATTGCAGTAGTCCACAATCTGTGGAAAAGATAGTATGACTTCCTAAACAAACTGCAATGAATTGGGCTGCTTTCAATAACATCCAACATTTTTAAAAGGGCAATACATATTCACATAAATTTCAAGGTGTTCAATTTGCTACCCATTTGCTAAATCTGTTTAATGTTCTGTGTTTTTGCTTTAATAAGTAAAATTACAGTATTCATTATATTTTCAACAACAGAGATTCAATAGCATCCAAGAGCACTTCTAAGCAATAAAGTCTTCAGACTCTGGATTTAAAGACTTCTGTGTCTCCGAGAGACCTGTTCATCAGCAATATTTTACATCAACTTTCTGTACATTACTTATTTTCCCCCCTATTTGTTTTATTTTTTCAGTTTATCTTTTTTCATTGTTTCCAATAAAACTAACTAGACTGTTAAGCTCTGAAGAAATAAACCTTTTGACTGCTATCATTGCAAATGTGTTTTTTACCACTTCTTTCAGATAAATAGTGTGCTCTACATACTGTATAGTCCAAAGGTGGCCCGGTAGGAAGTGCAATCCGCAATGTACTTGTTTACCAAGAAAATATAAGTGACACCCATTATTTATCACAAGATACTGCAGGAGTGACTATATTAACGTATAGTTACTGAACTCCTGGGGAGAGGAGAGTCTGCAGAGGTTTGACAACTTCCCAAAAGCACATTTCATTCAGAAAACAAACATAAATACTTCTCATGTGAACGGAAAGATTGTACACTGAAGGAGACGTTTATGATAAAGTCACATAGCCACTGTTTTTTTGTTTTTGCACTCATACTGTATGTGTAGGTGTGTCGCCGTCATCGCCATCATCATCATTGTCGTTGTTGTTGTCGTCGTCGTCGTCATCAAAGGAGTAGCACAGATGCAGGAAGAAGCCAGTGCCCAAAGCGAGTGTGGGTGATGTGCACACGTTAGTGAGGCAGGGGCACCAGGATATCCACATAGTTGATGGGGAAGAATCCCGACTGGCCGTGCAACATTCCCTCGTACCAGTTGTCGTCAATCTGATTCGTCAGGGTAATGACATCTCCCTCCTTAAAGCCCAGCTCGCCTTCGTTCTCGGGGTCAAAGTCGTAGAGGGCCCGACAGCAGGGCTGGTCCATCGGGGCTGGAGAGACAGTCAGGGCAAGGAGCTGTGAAGAGGCTGCTCAGAACATAACTATTCATGAAGCACCAGGTGCTCTAAGCTCTTAAGGTTAGGCTCTACAGACTAGGTTCTATAGAAGTTTATTTTAATGGAAACAAGAAAAGAAATATGTGCAGAGGCCTTAGATCTCCGATGCCTTTGTCATTAATTGTAATTTACCAATGCACCCTATTGGAAAATTTCTTTTAAATGCCCAAAATATGCTACTTGGTTAATTTGAGACAAACTGGGTTCTTGAAAGACTTCTTATAAGATACAGGTGATAGTGACAGAGTGTTTTTATAAGACCCCTGAAGAAAGTTTTTTTAGACTGTTGATCTCATAATTGTATGTACTGTACCTGTCTATAAAATTCATGGATACAATGCGTTTCTTTAAATGATGCTAAAAAAATGTGATGACCTCTGATGCATACGTTATGCCATTTGTGCCTGTCCCTGTAAAGAATTATGCATGTGATTATGATGTCTTACCATAACATCATCCTAAACTACAGTTTTAAATCAAATCCAAGAAATCAACAATACATTTGGGAATTTTACATTTACTTTACCCTAATAATTTAACACTGCTCAGGTCATTGTATTCTTTGGTAAAAGTGCACTTTCTTTTTCCAATAACTGCATTGGAAACGCTTTTGCCAAAATAAGAGTTGTGCCTCTAAATTGGTTGATGTGAAGAGCTGCGATCTGACAGAAGGATTAACATGGGTCTATTTTTATTCCCTTACAGCAGGCATTCATTACATCTGAGCATTCAGTTATTGGATTGAGCCCTTCATTTAAAGTCAGATAAAATAATTAGATCAGATGGGTAGCTGCGTCAGCATGCATAGGCTGCAAAGGAACAAGTAATAGGTTTATTCCAAGCTGAAAAGAAGAAAGAAAACACACCGTTTCGGCCATGGAGCCATCTTCAGATGTGAGAAAGACAGGGCAGTAAGCAAAGGTACTATAGCATAGGAGAACACAAGCTGGGAGAGAGGAGGAGTGGGAGGCAGGTGCAGGGGACAGACAGAGTGGTCAAGTGGCCATTTAAAATAATTCGATACCGTGTTATTTACTTTCAAACCATTTCACATGAAATTCAACAATGAAATGTTGTTTCAGTTATTCCGTTTAGTGGGCTCTCCCTTACCTGGGGATTTTGCAGTGCCACTATGAGCTATACCACCATTCTGGTTCTCACTTGGTGTGAACTCCATGACCATGCGAGGCTTGGGCATATACTCTCTCCTTGGCTTGCTTGAGGCTTCCCTTATCCTAGAAGACAGAGAGGCAATATTCTAAATTGGCTTTTCCATGTGAACGAAATACTCTCCAAAGGGTAAGGAGAAGTTCCAGCAAGCACAGTAAAGAGTCTGTTGTCAAGATGCGGATTGTATCTCAGTCCTGATAGAGGAAAGCCTGGCATTTCATTATATTACCTTCTGTAATATGCAGATGTCCAGATATGCAGAATCAACTCTTATATATATTGTAGGTTTTATGGGGTGAAAAAATGGCAAATTGATAGTAAAACAACGTTTTACAATTTACACCTCCCCTGATCCAGATTTCCAAAATTATTAACTGACAGACATTGCATGAAAAATCTCTCTTTATACTGTACCTCCATATACAGAACATCATTTCTTTATAGTTTATCTCTTTGATATGTGAAAAGGTGATGTCATAGACTTGGCTAAATGTTATCCTTAAAATCCAAAAGGGCACCCAAAGAAAAAAATATGATTTACTTTTTACAAAAGAAATCCCAACAAACAATAGCAAGCCAACTAGAGGGCTCAGGTTAGCAACATCACAATTTATTTTTGATTTAGTATTTTTATACTTCTTGATCTCTGCTGCGATTGTGGTTTTGGTGGGACGTCCAACATTGAAAATGCTCTGTCTACTTTTTCCATTTCATCATCAAATCCATGGGCTCTGCTTTGTTTCCACTGAGGATAGTTAAGTCCATTTCAATGGCTAATGATTTGTACAAAAAGTCATGTAGGAGTTTTAGCTGAGACTTTCTTTGTACAAGGTTTGTACAAGGTTTGGTCATTCACAACTTTGTTTAAATTTGAGTGTTTTTAATAAACTTTCTAACACATCTGATCCTGTATTTATTTTTCTAATTTTTTTCAGTTGCAATAGTCATATATAGTTAATAAAAATAATTTATAGTTAAGATGCACGTAATCAAGGGTGCAAGCACTTTCTGTCTGGTACTGTTAAGTCCTATCTTTGTGTATGTGAAATTAAGACATAACTTTGCTTAACCAGCTAAAAACCACACATACAGCTGATTTTAAATTTAATTAATCTGAAGTAGGCATATATAAAACATTATTGTCCATACACTGTTCCATTACCCTTGTGAAAAATAATAATTTTTCAACCAGTTGACCAGTTGGACACCTACAGTATGTGCTCACTTACAGTACCTGTTCTCCAGTTTGCTGGACAGCTGCTGGAGGATCTCAGTAGCTTGCCGGTGATACTCCACCTGTGCTTGGACCAGGGCAGCTAACTGGCTGACCTGTTCAATCTGCTAATACAAACACGAGAGACCAAAGGGTCTCCTGTTACGTACAAAGTAAACAGTCAGGATAAGGCTGCCTATCAGTGCTGCAGTATAGACAAGAGCACCTTCACCTTGGCTGGCTTGGAAAATGGATCCTTGTCAAAAAAGGCAGCACTCCCAGACACTTATACCTTATAGGGCCGAATCTTGCGGGAAACTAATTATTATTATTAATAATAATAATAACAATAATAATAATTAATTATTAGCGTTTAGTTATACTAATTATTATAATTAATAATTATTGTGTAGTGCTTACACTTACAGTATATAGCGCTTTTCTGGACACTCCACTCAAAGCACTTTACAGGACTCCCCTCCACTACCACCACCAATGTGCAGCATCCACCTGGATGATGCGACAGCAGCCATAGTGCGCCAGAACGCTCACCACACATTAGCTATCAGTGGGGAGGAGAGCAGAGTAATGAAGCCAATTCATAGATGGGGATTATTTGGAGGCCATGATTGATAAGGGTCAATGGGAAATTTTGCCAGTACGCCAGGGTTACACCCCTACTCTAGATTTTTAATGACCACAGAGAGTCAGGATCTCGGTTTTACGTCTCATCCGAAGGACGGCGCCTGTTTACAGTATAGTGTCCACGTCACTATACTGGAGCATTAGGACCCACATGGACCGCAGGGTGAGCACCCCCTGCTGGGTCCATTAACACCTCTTCCAGCAGCAACCTTGGTTTTTCCCAGGAGGTCTCCCATCTAGGTACTGACCAGGCTCACACTTGCTTAGCTTCAGTGGGCAGGCAGGTGTGAGTTGCAGGGTGATATGGCTGCTGGCTAATTAAAATAACAAACACTCAAAAGTATGCCTTTAAGTGAGAAGTATCAGTTAAAAGTGGGCATTTTCACAGATCTGACTGTTACTATCATATAGTAACTCTTGAGTAATAAGTGATATTAAAATCTTGGACAGGGTGGTGTTATCTCAACTTACTGTAGCCTTTTGCAATGAAAGAGAACTTTGGCACACTAATTTGAATACGAAATAATTCAAAATCTATTAGAAACTGGTGGACTATCCAAGATTCATGTTCTTTTTTGTATTCCTAACAAAGCCTTGTCACTGACATGGTGGTATTATTATGGCATCTAATGATTGCCTTTTTCGAATGCTGAAAAAAAGTGCTGACTTAGTTAAGGCACTACTAAGAAATATATCACAAATAGTAACACTACATGCTTAACTTCCACATTATTATCATCATATTCAGTTGCTTTCTTTATCTTGTTCTGAAGCTGAATGGAACTGAATGGTTACTGATTAAAATGCCCAGTGCCTGAAAAGACCACACTCCTGTCCAACCTTTTGTTAGGCTAATCTTCTGATTCTATATAAAATTATTATTTTATCTTGGAAAGTAGCTCTCCATACTTCTTAGACACTCAAGAATAAAACTGGCCCTTGCTTTAGCTCATTGAGTGCACTCATTCCAGGCCTCAGGGATTTTCATGCTTCTTAGATATTAGAAACTGAACTCCAAAACACAAAAAAGCTAACAAATAACAGTTATATTACTAAGGAAATGTGAGGGTTAATATTGAACATTTTATGAACAATGTTCTGTCAGCTCTTAATTATTCAGTTCATTTTCATGATTAAGAGATCATGTGGAATGAATGCCACCAGACCATGTGAGCCGTGAGGAGCCGGGGTGAGTAAACCCGCTTCTGAAAACTCAAGTGAAAACTGTCAAGTACAGTGATAGCAGTTTTCTAAACTGAAAAGTGTAAATAGCAGTATTTCGTGTAAGAATTAAAAAATGTATAATTGTTTTTTTAGATGTATCGGACGTGTACAAGACGCAAACAAATGCGTTTATATCCAACAGAGCCCTTACATCACTTTCCAACAGGTTAAACATGCTCTGTTCTGCAATCTCTTTGGACTCATCAAACTTCTCCAGGGCTTGCTTGATCTCTTCATCCTGCAGCTTTCCCTGTCTCTTCTTCTTGTAGTCAAAGTCGAGGCGCCGGCCCTCCATCTTCTTCAAGTGGTGCTGTAAGAGGAAAACATTACATCTGCACATCCACAGTCATAGGCAAAGTAAATCTTAGATCACACAGATCATATAGCCATAACCTTTAGGCATAACCTTGATGTGCTAGCTCAATATGACAAAGGCAATCTAAATTAAATTACTTTAAAAGTTTCTGTATTTTTCTCTGAAGGTGAAACACTTATTCTTTTCTTCTTCTTTTTTAATCTGGTTTAGATCCATCTTTGTTGGCAATAATCCATCACAATGAAACCTGTGAATCTCATGTTTATCATTTAGTCCCAGTTATCCCTATCTTATAGATAAGATCACTTATTGCTGGTACTTATGGAGCCAGAAATACATCTGCATGTATTTAAAACCCATACTAATGAGTTCTTTTCATCGTTTCTGACTCTCTCAGTATTATTCCTGCTTCCAGGCTAAGACAGATGGCCTTGAAAAACCAATTCTTGAGGGCCTTTGAAAACCTTAGACCAGCACCAAATTCATTCAAACCATATGGTCAAAGCACAAGTCATGAAATAACGCTCAGTGAAGAATATGATAGAGATTAAATACTGTACAATAACAACTGATGAACACTTAATAGCCCTGTCAAGGTTTTTACCTGTATCTCCTTGAGGTCTTTGTCATGTAGATTCTGCAGAGGGTCTATAAAATTCTGCTTCACTTCCATATCAAGTGCATCTTTCACTTCACCTAATTCCCTAATGGCTTCCCCTGCATCAATGAGTGCAAGGCCTGCAAAATAGTAACAGACCAAGATCCAGTACGCAGTGCAAAATCTGTAGCCCCGTACTCAGAACTCAATAATATTCACAATGAACGTTCAACATTTACAGTAGTAAAACTACACTGAACACTTATGGCAAGCCTTGATTTTAACATGAGAAAACTTATGGTTTCATCAAACATAGCTTTAATATCTTTCATCAGTCATCATTTCTCATGTCATTGGTAAACATGGTTCAATAAATAGTTTGAATGGCAAATGAGGTATGGGTCACATAATGAATACAGGTTCCCCTTGCGTGGGAATTCAGAATCCTAATTATGATTAAAAACACCAGTGTAAAAACAGCATGGCAGAGGCAGACTGACATGTTTCTCCATTCAGTCTGTAAATCAACAACCCATTAATAGTGACCTGAACAGCGGTTGTCTGCACATATTGGCAACTGAGTAAAGACTTTGCAAAAACCAGGCAATTCTCTGATACAGATCCCAGACTGAACTAGAAACATTTTTGTATAGCATGTAATACTCATAAATATCACATAAGAATATTTTAGATACCCAGTTTTGCTGAGTACTTAAGATTAAACTTTTTTATATGAGGTAATGCTCCTACTATACCACAAGGGGGAGCGAGTAGCATTGTACTTTTAATCCTTCTGCAGCCGAATATGATACATGAAATCAGTGCTATGGGGATTTAATTTTGCGCATTAATGGATGTTTCAAAAAGCTCTTTGGGGCCCTTTTAAAATTACAATCCGTAGCAGCTCTTTTTTCAGCAGGATTTTCTACTCTTCCATCCATAATGCTGTTATCAGTGCCCACGCTATTAGGAGCATGTCCCGTAGGGGAGTCATATATTTCACTCAGGATGTTAGAAGAACACTGGTACCTTCAGAGAAAAAATATTAAAATGGGAAACCTGTTCGTCCTACTGTTAAAATAGGATCAAAACATCTTGTAAGCTGTAAAAAACTCAGTTCTTGTCATTTAACTTCACCAAGGTTCCTTTCCAGCTCTTAAACAGAATTGCCTTGCGAGCTCAAAGTTTAAACATGAAAAATGGTTTAATTATGGTGTTGCCAAAGGAGCTCAAGATTTAAACAGAGATAAAAATGGTTGTTAGCAGCCACAAGTGACGAAGTCGAATATCCTGTACACTTATGTGTGTGACAGAGACTGATTGGGTGCTTATTAAGCCAATGAAATGACATTAACTGTGGCATATCACATTAAACTAAATAACATTATTATTAATAATACATTTTGTAGTGTCTTTTCTGTCATTTCAGAAATAACCAAATAAAAAATATACAAAAGGCCAGCACATTTGAATATAGATGTAATATATATACAATTATATAAACAAGGACAGATTCAGAATCCCTGACAACCCTAGTAAGAGTTTCATAATCGAGGTGACTATGGAATTTAATGCTCGGTCATCTGTGGAGCAAAGCTGTCCCCTTTGCCCATTCAGGAGAACAGAATCAGAGGAACGTAGGCCATAAGATGAGGAGCAGCACTGAAGCAGATCCTTAAGACAAGATTGTGCCAAAAGTATAAGATAAGATAAGATCTATTTATTAGCCATATACAATTTCTTGGATTAGGAATTCATCTTTTCGCATACCACAGCTTGCTCTCCATAAGACACAGACACACAGACAGGGAGAGAAGCTTGGGGTCAGAGTGCAGGGCCAGCCATTGTACAGCGCCCCTGGAGCAGTTGGGGTTAAGGGCCTTGCTCAGGGGCCCAACAGAGTAGGATTCCTCTGCTGGCTGCGGGATTTGAACCGGCAACCTTCCAGCCACAGGCGCAGATCCTTAGGGAGGTTTGCTAGTCAGAAACCGTATTTTAAAGAAGCTTCAGAGATGCACAAATATAATTTTAAAATGTGAGATGGGTGTGCAGCAGCTGCCACTACTGGAACTCTGCAAAGAATTGCCTGACATCCTACAGAAGGAAACAGAGTTAAGACCAGAGAAATATGTAACAAAACCACAGGAAAAAAATAACCAAGCGTTATGCAAAATGTGTGTTCTTTTATTCTCTGAGACAGTTCAGATGATGGAATAATAATCACGCCCAAACATAGAAGGACAAAGAAATATTAACAATATATACCACAACTATATTGTGACACACACAATGGTTAAACTAGTGTGTTACAGTAACAGGCAAATCCTTGAGGAGAACCTGCTTCACTCAGCAAAAGACTTTAAAATGGGGTGAAGAGTCACATTCCAAGAGGACAACAACCCCAAGGGTATAGCCAAAGTGGCTTCAGAACAAAAAGGCTGAATGTCCTTGAGGGTTTCAGAATTGAACAGTGAAAGAAACAGATACAGTGCCTTCATAAAGTACAGTATTTACAACCCCTGAACAAATGTAAATATTGTTGTTATCACCAGACTTTTAATACATAGATATTATTTTACTCTTGATTTACACTATAAAAAAGGTTTAAAAATAGGTTCACTGTGTAACATTTATCATGGTTGAATATGACTGTTTACTGAAGTATTCAACCCCCAGAGTCAATACTTTGTAAAGGTACCATTTGCTGCAATTACACCTGTCTTCTTCGGTATTTTTACCCATTTCATGCTTGCAGATTTGCTCAAGCTCTGTCAAGTTGGATGGGGGATCGGTAAACTGACTAATTTTTACATCGCTTCAATAGATTCAAGTCTGAGCCACACAAGGACATTCAGCCTTCTTATTCTGAAGCCACTTTGGCTGTACATTACGTTTGGGGTCGTTGTCCTGTTGGAACGTGAATCTTCAGCTCAGTTTAAAGTCTTTTGCGGAGTGAAGCAAGTTCTCCTCAAGGATTTGCCTGTCACTGTAACACATAGTTTTACCATTGTGTGTGTCATCATATAGTTGTGGTTCTCCTCATAGATTTGCCTATATTTGGCTCCATTCCTTGTTCCCTCTATCCTGAAAAAGCGCACCAGTCCCTCCTTTTGAAAAGTATCTCCATTAGATGATGCTGCCACTACCAGGCTTCATAGTAGGAATGGTGTTGCACATCTGTGAGCTATGCTTAGTTTGCACCAGACATGGTACTTTGCATTCAGTCCAGTTCAGTTATTGTTTCAATATGCCAGAGACTTTTTTACCATGTGGTCTCAAAGCCTGCCACTTGCCTTCTTGCAAACTCTAGGTGTGCTATTGGTTTCCACCTAGCCATTCTCGCATAGAGACTAAATCAGTGGAGTGCATTTCTTGGACAGGTCCTCCCATTCCAAACTTTATTATTCATCAGGGTTATCACTGAGTTCTCGGTCCCTTCTCTGACCAAACACCCTCTTGCCCAGTTGCTATAGGAAAAGTGGTTCCATATTCTTTCCATTTCATATCAACCAATTGGATTGTGCTCCTAGGGCTTATCAACATTAAATAAATTATAGTTCAGGTATCACACCTGAAGAAGTATCACACCTGAAGAAGTGTGATACTTCTTCACCTGAAGAAGAAGTATCACACCTGAAGAAGGCTCCACGGCCGAGACGTTGTGTTCTCTTTCTTCTTTTTTTCAGCATGGAATAAACCTATTACTTGTTCCTTAAATAAATTATTTCAGGTGGGTAGCTGCGTCAGCATGCGCAGGCTGAAAAGGAACAATTAATAGGTTTATTCCATGCTGAAAAGAGAAGAAAGAAAACACAACGTTTCGGCTGTGGAGCCTTCTTCAGGTGTGTTTGTTTTCCGTTCTCTTCAGCATGGAATAAACCTTTACTTGTTCCTTAAATAAATTATTTTTACCCCCCTAGATATATGCTAGAGTTGTAAACACTGCTCTTTGATCTTCATGGCACAGTTTTTGCTCTGATATGCACTTGTCAGCTGAGGGACCTTATACAGAAAGGTGTATTACTTCTGAAATCTCATGGACTGACCACAGGTGGACTCCATTCAAGTTCTAGAATGATTTGACAAGGAAATTAAAACCACCTTGGCTCAAGCTGGAGTGTCATAGTAAAGGGGGTCAATATTTATGAAACACAAGACTATGCTAGGCCAGCGGTAGCTGTTCTCTTCCTGTATTGTCACTCCTCTTTTCTCTGCATCTCTGTTATATTCATGATCTCCCTAGGAAGCAGTCTTATTGAATTGCAGTGAAGTTATTAATTAATCATTAGGAACACCCTTTGACCATGTGTGTCTCTCTCCATTTGCACTTGCCTCCTATCCCAAATAGAAATATGTAAATACAGCCAAACAATAACCATCGTTTCAAACCCTCTGAATAAGGCAATTAAGGTGGGGATGTGCATATGTTGCTAACCTCAGCTGAAAGTCAGCTGCCTCCCCAGTCAAAATAAAAAAGTACAGCTGCAAAGAACACAGGGCCCAGCAACAATGTTTCTGTTGGCACACTGAATTTTCAAGATGCTTATAAACATATAAAATCAAGTAGAGGCACATCAGCACATGAGCACCAAGAGCTACAAACAGTCACCCCTTCATAACAATTTAATACTGTTATGCATTAGATCAAACAGCAATAACCAATAAGAGAAAACTGTTGACCCTCTCCAATACAGTCCCATTGATATAAACAGGTGTGTGACCTCCTCCCTGATGTTTCCTATAATCCACGATCATTTCCTTAGTCTTACTGATGTTCAGAGAAAGGTTGTTCTCCTGGCACCACGCTGCCAGGGTTTCAACCTCCTTCCTGTACGCAGACTCTTCACCGTCAAAACAGTCAAAACAGCACGGCAGCACCTATTCTTTCTCCACAAGCTAAAGAAGTTCAGCATGCCGTCACATATCCAGGGCAGCTTCTACAGGTGCACTACTAAGAGTTTCCTGACTGGTTACATCACTGCCTGGTATAGGAACTGCTCTGCCCAGGATCGCAAAGTACTGCAGAGGGTGGTGAAGTCAGCGCAGCTCATTACCGGCTGTGAGCTACCAAACATCCAGGATATCTACTTAGCTAGATGTCTTCTCAAGGACCCTAGTCATCCCAGTCATAAACCATTTTCTCTCCTACCATCCGGTAAACGGTATCAAAGCATTTGGTCCAAGGCCAACAGATTACAGAACAGGTTCTACCTCCAGGAAATAAGACTGCTAAACAGCCAAGCTGCAGTTCCTTCAGCAAATCACCCATAATGGCTACACGGACATACAGTTTTCACTGTATCGGCATAATGCACAACTTGGACATAATGTGCAGTATTGCATTCACCCTGGACACATAGCAGCACTATTTATATTGAGCTCTGTCTGAGTTTATTTTATTCAAAATTTGATTCTATTGCACTATTATGTATTATTATATAACCTTATTTTGTCATTTTTATCATTCCCTGTCTGAGCTCGTAGAAAAGACATTTCATTGCCAGCAACCACTGCTGCACACTGAATTGTTGTGCATTTGATAAATAAACTTTGATTGATTGATTGATTGATTGATTGATTGATTGAAAAAATACAGTGAAGTGTTTGCATAATACCCCTTTTCTGATTTATATTCCAGAACCAGAAACTATGGCAGCAATATTCTATTCTAAGAAGTACTTTCAATCAAAAAGCAGACTGGCCATTGTAAGGAACTTAGTGCTATTCACATAGGCTTGTGAACACAGACAATGAGTTTGTCGTGGTACTGCCAGATAGATCTATTCACATACATTTTTATATTTCACTTTGCATTTTCACTTAGATTACATCTTCAGGACAGTGCTGAGGCAAAACATAGAGTGTATATCAAACAATGAATCTATATTGGGTCAGCATTTATGGCTTCTAATTTGACTTTTTCTGTTATAATTCATGGCACGCTGATTACTTGCTTCAGCTTAAGGTTCAAACTCTTTATTTTCTGGAAATTGCCCAGCTGACAGATTTAGTTTTCTTTCCCCCCCATAATCTTACCAAACCAATAAGAATTATTAATTTGATTAAATCGTCTTGTTCCCTGCTTCTAATCTCTTTGAATGCGTTAACTACTGTATATGTCATCTTGAAATTAGTCCACAGCCTTCATAATAAAAATATTATGGAGAAAATGTTTCATTTGTTTTTTTAGTGAATAATGACACTTCTTATATGGTGCTTACACTTAAATGTAAAAGTAAATATAAGGTCTTAGATGTTTATTTGGAGTCCTTAATTTCCTCCTCAATGAAAGAGGCCCACAAAATGTTTAGATAAATTGCATAAAGTGAAATGGCATGACTTAAACACTGTATGAAATATGGTCAACACTTTACAAAAAGGAGAGTGCATCTCTGTATTCTGTTCAATGAATGACAATCAGATCCTTGGATCAATAAGTTACTAGAACCCAAATGAGAAAGATAGCCTCCTCTCACTTGTTACCTTTCTTATGTTAATATTCTACAGGGCCTGTTACTCATATAAAAATCCTTAACAAATAAATTACATTGGGTGAAGGCAGCTGTATCTAATGCTCGCAGGACTGCCAGCTTTTGGTGTTTAGAGAAAAGCCATTGAAACTGATGGCCCTCAGCCTCTTCTCACTCCGTACTGGCTGAGCTGTTCTTTGAGCAACTAGTTTTTTAATAATAATAATTTCTTACACTTATATAGTGCTTTTCTTGACACTCCACTCAGAACGCTTTATAGGTAATGGGGGCTCCCCTCCACCACCACCAATGTGCAGCATCCACATGGATGATGCGACAGCAGCCATAGTGCGCTAGAACACTCACCACACATCAGCTATTAGTGAGGAAGAGAATAGAGTAATGAAGCCAATTCATAGATGGGGATTATTAGGAGGCCATGATTGGCAAGGGCCAATGGGAAAATCCGTCCAGGACGTCGGGGTTACACCCCTACTCTTTTCAAGAAACGCCCTGGGATTTTTAATGACCAGAGTCAGGACCTCGGTTTCACGTCTCATCCGAAGGACAGCACTCTTTCACAGTACAGTGTCCCCATCACTATATTGGAGCATTAGGCCCCACATAGATCGCAGGGTGAGCACCCCCTGCTGGCCCCACTAACACTTCTTCCAGCAGCAACCTTAGTTTTTCCCAGGAGGTCTCCCATCAAGGTACTGACCAGGCTCATATTATTCCAACAGGGTGTAGCTCTGATGCATCAAAGCGCAATTGAAATGATGATCTTATCAATTATCCAACTACCAGTCCTTCCCACTCTTTTTGCATTTTTAGTTTATTTTACTACCTCCCTTATAGTGAGGGTGAAAGAACCAGTTTGCCTTAACAAATATATAGTGCCAAAAATGTTATTCACTTAAGAAATGAATGCAGATTAACAGTGTTAAAGTTCAAACTACAACTAAAAAAAAGACAAAATAATTGTTGAAATCTGGTAGATACATTGCCCGCTGTTTGTACTAAAAATAGGCTTTTCTCTAAAGTTTTAGTGGAAATATTGTGTATAATTGACACCCATAAAAGCGAAACTTCCATTCCTTGTGACTGATAACATTCCACATATTATTCTACTTATTTTGCATATGGTGTAATATTTGTGAGCTTGGCACAAGCTCAGGGTGCAGACTGTGAAAGAGAAGTGAAATAAAAAACAGTCAGGTTTCCCACATACCGAAATTGGACTCCTCCCCAAGTTCTCTGCCATACTTCTGCATGGCTTCGCCCAGTAAAGTCTCTGCCTGTGGATACCCAGGACCTTTTTCCTGGCCTCGGATCTTGGACATGGTGTTGATCATGCTCAGCTTTGCTCTAGATGCTGACGGGTGAGAAGAAGGACAGTGAAAACGTGGTCATCCTCACATTCTCATCTTTCAAGGACAAGGAAACATCATTGTTACCCCAGCGATCTGCCCCACATATCATCCCAGACATTACTATTGGCCTGATACTATGAGATGTTCTGATCAGATACATTTACAAATCCCTAGACAAAACAACCTCATCTAAGGTAAAGAGTAATTAAACTACAATTTATTATTTGGTGTATACTTTTATTCAATGTGATTTACATGTGTAACCATTTATACAGGTAGGAATTTTGCTCAAGCAATCTGAGTAAGGTACTGTACCTTGGTCCAGGATACTGGATTATAACCTCACAATTATAAATTACAGTATAAATCCATAAACCTACATTCAACATCACTTTACTGCCTCCAAATACTGTATGTGGTGGAACAATCCAGACTATTTAAAGAATTAAAAGCATTAAAGAAAAGGTAAAAATCTCAAATTTAAAGGGTCAACATCCCCAATCCCCTGAAAGCTTATACAACAGGGATAATTCAGAAAAAAAACAATGTGGGAGAGACTTCAGGTCTGAGTTGATTAATTGTGCAATTTGTGTGCTTGGCACATCTTCAATTATGGCAGTTTGATAAAGGTGAAAGACAAATCAATGCAAGTTCACACACTTGTTTAAGATCCCTGTATCTGTCAAATCACCACAAACAACATGCTAGCAATTGGAATCTCGTTTCCAGTGTAGACACTAAAATGGATTATTCCACCTGACATCAATCACTGAAACTGCCTTTGATTCTCATTAACCTTTACATTGTGTCTTTACGAGAAGACTTTACTAGTGAGTTTGTATTTAAGAGATATAGAATATCAATTTTTACATGGTCAACATTTTCTCAGTACATGACATACAAAGTAAAACATACAGTATTACTGGAAACAAAAGCATAACATTTCTTTACAGCCATGAACCAACTGACATCTCCTCTCTTGTAGAACAACTTTAAAATTTTAGTGGAGTCAAAACGCAGGTCAAATGGAATGAAATGGCTTATTCTCTGGAAATTTTCAGATGTATATCATTTCTTCAGTTCACAGAATCCTGAAAATATTGGAATCTCCAACTTAACTGAGCAAACAAAAATATGGCCTTTTCATAAGAATATTACCTAGGTTTCAAGTTAGCATTTGAAGTAATATTTGTAATGAGGAACAGCTTGAAATGATAAATATATAGATGTATTTATAAGGACATTAGAACATAAGTTCTGAGTAACAAACATTTTTAATTCAATGTGTTCCACATCATTAGCCTTTATTGACATCAGTGTTTTAGAGCTAGAATGACTCTTTACAGACAACAGAAAACAAATATTTTTAGAAGATAAAAGTTGGATTCATTGACTTGGAACAGCTGAGAAAGCAAAAAAAACAGCATCTTCTGACGCATGAAAAGGAAACTCAAGGCTGAACTGCACTGTAAACGTTTGTGGTCTGAATTTGAAAGTCTGTGTAAAAACTTTGAGCATCAGATGGAAATATAATAATGGTCATAGTAAACAAAACAGTTAATTTGCTGGTAGAGATAAATGAAATTATAGATTTCTCACTATTTTAGAGACATGGATAGTTTGAATATTCAGGAATTCCCAGGTAATTCCCAAGGAAAAATGGTCAAACAAAATAAAGAAAATATTGTTCTACCTGATAGTGCTGATCATTTGAATTTCATTTCTCTATGACCATCAACCACTGCTGTCCTGATAATGTGTACAAAGACAGTTAGAGCCTTTAAACATCAAAAGGTAAGAAATCACCACAAACAACACTTGTAATGATTTTTCTCTCCGTTTCATGAGATGATGAATGTGTCTTTCAGGCCTTAAACAAAATACAGTACCTTTTGAGCAGTTCTATATTGTTTACAAAAAAGAAGAGGTGTTTCTAATGTATGCCAGAAATCTTGAATAGCATAGTTAATCACCAGCAATATACAGACATTTTCATTAATAAAGAAGGGAACTGTAATTAACAGTTTTAAAAAAGTCCTTCACAATTGTGGCAACTGTTTACAACAAAAACTGTTGTATGGTCAAATGGAGTCAGAAAATCAATTTAGTCAGGAATGAAGTAGGATAAACCTCAGTTACAAATGAAAGATGGACAAAATTTGTACAGTACCATCATTCATGTCTTTCTTAGTTCTTAAGCAAAGGAAAAACACACAAAAAACACCTCCCTAAGCCTTGCTGCAGAGTCTCTTAAGCTACTTTTTTTTCTATTGTCATCTAACAGTTTTTTTATTATCCCTCTCCCCTGCACTGACATAAACCTCAGAAAAAAAATGCTCACTCTGTTTTAAAAATAGTACTCACTATTTGTACAATTCATTAAGCTTGTGAAGTGAAGATTGGGCATTCCTAAGACAATGGATTAGGGCTCCTGTTTTGGTCCTGGAGGGTGTCTACAGTATATGTTTTCAAGATCTCTTTAAAGCAGAAGTACCTGAAGAGCTGGGAGAAGGGCTTCAGTTAAGCAAGTAACCAGTTGCAAGGTATAACCAGTTATAACTTGCAACTAGTTAGCTGGCACTTGCCACCAGTAACCACTTGCAGTACCAGTAACTACTTACAGTGCCTTTCGAAAGTATTCGGCCCCCTTGAACTTTTCAACCTTTTGCCACATTTCAGGCTTCAAACATAAAGATATAAATTTTTTATTTTATGTGAAGAATCACC